TTAGATCGCCTGCTTGAAGAGCGCCTGCTTCGGAGACGGCGCCGGCGACGAGATTTATGAGGATGGAGTTCTTATTGCTTTGGGGAATTATGAGAGCGAAAAATAATTGGGCTAATTTTGAGATTCCAGAGACGGGGTTGAGATCTGTTTCTCCGAGTGCGCGGACACCCATGATAGAGAGAATAAGGGCTACTGGGACGGAGAGGATGGTTGCGTAGAGGGGGATTAATCCTTCGAATACAATGCGGATGCTAAATATGCAGAAGACAATGGAGAGGATGAGGCCTATCCAGACAGTGCGGGTATTGACGAGATGCTCTAAAGGGGCGTCGGGTTCTGGTAGATCTTTCAATTCTGGCTGAAGATTGTTGCTGGAAAATGATGATCCGTTACTAGTAGTTGATACGTTTTGCTCTCTACGACCAGAAGATTCTTCTCTGTTTATAGGCGCATATCCCGTGTTCGATTGTGGTGCTCCAAATGAAAGAAGACCCAACCAATCCCGTCTCTTGATCTTTTGTTGAGCCTCACTAACATAATCTCTGCTATTATTGATCAAAGGGCTTAGAGCAATGTATCCAAGACTGATTACAGAGTCCGCTAACATTATAGCTAACGAAATCCAAACAATCCAGCCTTTGCTTCCTGTTTCCCAATCACTGACTGGCCCAGGAGCCCAACCCCTGTTTTTCGCGAGAGGAGAAAGTATTCCCCAGCCAACGATAGCTCCAAGAAGCATATGTGTGGTTGTCGCTGGACCCATAATGATTCCCTGTCCGACGTATGCAAGAGAAGGATTTAAAGTCCATAACCAATTTTGCGCGATTGCTGTTCCGAAAATTGGTAATTTCCGCAATATGGGAAAGAAATAAGTTCCAAGTGTATAGAATCCTGATATTCCAAATGAAATCACTAACAACTTAACCTTTGATTTCCAGCTGCTACCTTCAGCTTTGCTCACCTCCTCGACATCCGCCACACTCTCATCTGTATAATTTCTAGACTCTCTTTCGTTTATACCATCTGTCCCATCTAGGTCTTCGGAAGTCGAGATGGGCGGTCCACCTGTAGTAGTCTCTTTCTCATGTAAAACGCCAATCATCAACGCAGTCGCTGTACCGGATGGAAATTTCAATTTCTCTTTAATAATAACTTGTCGTCTCAACGGAACCGCAAACACCACCCCGAAAAAGCACAATCCCAACGACCAGAGAATAAGTTTCCAAGTACTTAAGAAAATTGGCCCTTGTTCTTCCTTCTTCAACATATAATTCAATGCCGGCATAACCCCCACGAACCCACAACCCAATGGCATTGTCCCCATTGATCCAGCGACCGTTTGTACCAATACATTTTCCACCGGCGTAAATGGTAGATCAAGATGTTTCGACAGAGTCTTGAAGAACGCGAATCCGATCAGGGAAGCCGGCATGGCCATAGAAGAAACCCAACCGGTCTGCAGACCAAAATACATATTGGAGAAACATATTATCAATCCGACGCCCAGTCCAACGAGTATACCTCGTACTGTGAAATTCTGTCCTTCTTCCGCATGTGCAGCTATGAATCTTCGTTGTTCGCTTCGTCTACGACGGAGTGCATTGTCATTGTCTTCAGATGTGCGAGTGGAGATTGATTGGTAGTCCGGAGACTGTGTTGTGCCTCTATCGGGCGCCATTGCTGTTGTGGGGTCGGTCGAGAACCTTGAGGAATTGAATCAGTCAATAAAGATATATATATGTACATGGAAGCGATATAGCTGCCGTCTGAATATCACACTAGCCGGAAATGAATGATATAGCCATCATCGGTCGGTTGGTAGTGAGTGCAAACAATTAGTAGAAAAGGTTATGGTCGATGCCTATCGCTGACCAATGTCGGGATTCGCGATTACAACAAGGTAGGGATCATATTTCGTCATGCAGACTCTACGTAAGCGAAAAAACAGGCGGAAATTGAGTACTCTTTCAAAAGTCTTTTTAATAGATTATAAATTCATTTCAAACTAAATATTGAAATTTGAAAAAAGAAAACGAAAATTTGAGTCTTCTTTGTATTGAGATCAAGTGTTGTTATTATTTAATATTATATCGAAAAGAGATCCTAGTTGTTGAAGGTCTTTCGAATGGTGGTCAATTCCCGCCTGTTTTTTTGCTTACGTAGAGGCAGATTATCTCCCGAGCTTATCTCCAAGATATCTCCGAAAGAGAGTGAAGGATTGATGATTATAAAAATCTCCAATCCGGATAGATAATGGACAATGGAAATAATGATTTATCAATATAAATACACCAAGAAATTTCAAGTGAAGGTTCTTGAAAAGAAGAACTTGCAAGTATTAGCTAGAATTCATTCATATTCGGGGTATCGAAATCTCTAGGTCACACAAATAGCATATAATATGGGAAATGGTTGTGGAGATCTACTTTATTTGAACTACGAGCATACTCAATACTTCCCAAAAGTATGGACTTGCTACTCCAGCGAGAGCTATTCTTGCAAGGCCAACCTCAGCGGAACTGACAATCTTTATCCTACTGCCAAGGGTTTCATGGTACTCTTAAGTTCAGCAAATCATCCCATTTTACCATTTCATCTACCAACCAGGCAGTTTATCTCATCTTCCATGTTTGAGATTTGGCAGCCTCCTCACCATCGAACTTCCAGTCCATGCCAATAGTTAGAGCTCTTGAATAATCGTCGGCAACTAGATACTCTAACTCTCCACTGATCTGCTCACCTGCCTTATGTTCCTTTGGTTGATATTTGGCAGTATCGATGAGCAACACACCTTGTTTCCAATGTGTTACCTTAGCTTTTGGACCTGTTGTAAATGCAATTCCTTTTTTCTCCTGCTTGGCCCATTCCTCAGCCTTCGCATTCTCAGGAACCTCGTCTTTTCGTGAGGGCATGAAGAAGCTGTCAAACCAAATCATGAAGCCATCCAATGTGTCGACATCCTGAGTGAGCTTCGACTCCCATTTTCTCTTGAAAGTAAGATCTTTGACCGTGGTTGTGTGCAGACTTAATTGCAAGAATGGGAAGGGTTCGCCACAGATGGTACTAGCTGGCATATCGAGGACTTGCGTATCGTCGTGAATTCCAGCTTGCATTGCTTTCATATCGAATCCATAAACATCTCTCCAGAAATCTATGTGATCGGCGACGTAATCTGGATCCGCAACGGGAGCAACCCACATGTTCATGTGACTTGGAACCATTAATCCATCAGGCTTCAAGTACTTGTCTCGAGCCCAAATGACACTGTCGAGCATAGCTTCATATAGCAAGCAATAACCCATCCATTCACTAACGATAATGTCGACGTGTTCAACAGGGAGATTGACTTCCTCAACTTTACCCTTGAGTAAAGTAATTTTATCTGCGAAGCCGTTGTTGAAAATGTTCTCGCGGGCTTTCTCAATGATGTCCGAATTATCGACACCAATCACTTGAGCTGCACCAGCTTTGGCACAGAACATACTAAGAATACCTGTGCCACAACCTACATCCAAAACAGTCTTTCCGGCAAAAAGAGACTTGTTGTTGTAGATGAAGTCACGATAGGCATCGGTACGAACAGTATCTTTCAACATGGTCTCATGGATATCTGTAAGACGTTAGTTAGGCAGTATGGAATGAAAGGTGGGCAGATATCTGACCATTGTATGAATAAGAAGTAAAATATTGGCTATCATCATCTCGCTTCTCCTCCTTTTTGGCTTCAGAAGGTCCCGCGGACTTGTTCCAACGTTCATCCAGAGTTTCATTGACAGTGTTTCTGTAATTTTCAAATTGAGATTGAATTCTTCTGAGCTCCTCTTCTAACTCAGATACACGAGTGACGAGGGGTCCGGATTCGACTTCCTTGCCATTTCCTGCGCCTTCATTTTGTTCGATGATATCAGGAAGATCATCAAGGCAAAAAAGAAAAGCATCGTCCTCCAAAACTGGCTTGAGGTATTTCTCATCTTCCAAGTCGGCCTGGGAAATATTTTGAGAAGGCTTCTCACCACTTTGAGTCTTAGATCTTAGGTAATTGGTAAGTTTGATACTGCCATAGAAGTCTAGGCCCAACTTTTGTCTGACTTCTAAGAAATCAAAGCCATATTTCTCCTTGCAATGTTCAATCATAGCAATCATATCGGAGAAAACTTCATCATCTAACAATGATACAAATTGGTTTTGTTCTTCTTCTTCTGGCTCAGCATCTTCCCATCCCTCATCATCTTTCAAATCAAGGATATCAGATGCCTCAGAACTACCAGAATCTGATGGTGCATACTTCTCGATGTCTGGAACCTGGGCAGACATTTTATAAGATTTTATGATGTATTCTCACTTTTTTGTCAGAGAACAATAGCAACGGAGATTCTGGTAAAGAGATTAAGGATTTTTTTTCTTCAATTCACTATCAGCACGTGTTTTTTCATGATAAGAGTCGAGGATAGGAAACTACTCGGGAATGCATCAGATATCGTAGAGTGAAGAAGATGGACAGGTATCAAATTAAGAACTGTTGTATATGCACCCATAACAGCATAATATGAATGTACCATCGTTGATCTCCATAGCAGATTGATGATTGAAAGAAAACTATGCAATATAAACTTCATCTATCAAAAACCAAAGACTTCCACAATGAACATCCATCCCATCGTCAACGTTGCTGGGGAAATAAACCAGGATGGTTCGCTTAAACTTCGGGCAAACTCCTAAATATCAATAGATACTGGTAAGGTCAAGGTTCGATGGAAAGTGGAAGGAAGGTCCTAGGATGAAATCATATTATGATTGCATACATCTTTCAAAAACGGTTCAACTACATATTAAAAATGTCACGATATTGACAGATGATCTCATACATGTTCATGCCAATTTCACAAGTTATTCGGAAAATCCTTGTTGAATGCCAACACATCGGATTTTGATCGAGCCACCGTAAACACAAGAAGAGAAGCTCAAGATAATCGCAAACAATTTGACCTCAAGTACAAAACATGTCCTTTCTATTCGGGCGAAAGCCGCGTCCCAATACGGTGGATCTATCGAAGCAGGCCAGGGACTTGATATTGAAGCTCGATGGCCCTGGAGGTGCTGTGAAGGTATATATATTTTTTGGCGCATTGCAGTCAGCAGTGAATTATGGATGAACTGACTATTCGACAGGCCGAAGAGCTGGCAAAAGCTCTATCTCAAATGAAATTCATTCTACAAGGAACACAAGGTTGGTTGATTTGTTCATTTATGACTTGACTTGCCTTGCTGCAAATTACTGATCACCTCTCAGAAATAGAAAGCACCCCCGAGCAAGTACATCAGCTGGTAACCGGAATGATCCAGGAAGATCTACTTTACCTCCTCGCCGTTAATTTGTATCGTCTTCCCTTCGAATCGAGAAAAGATGCCCAGGTTATATTCTCTTATGTCCTACGGTTCCGACCCGCAACAGCGTCACCGAAGAGTGAACCTATGGCGCTTAGTTATGTTATAAATAATAGACCGGAAGTACTGGTTGAACTATGCAATGGTTACGAACATAAAGAAAGTGCTACACCTGCTGGTACAGTTCTACGAGAGGTTCTAAAGAGTGATGCTGCAGCGGCAATCATTTTGTACAACGATATCAAGGAGGGAGATGCTAGCACCAAAGGCTTGACTGCTATACAACCCGAAATCAAACAGACTGGAGAGGGAGTCTTCTGGAAATTCTTCAATTGGATTGACCAAGGATCATTCGAGGTTGGAGCAGATGCTTTCACAACTTTTAGGGTAGGCAATGCATTCATTTTGGAAAGAATAAAGCTAATGCAGGTACAGGAACTGTTGACCAAGCACAAACAAATTGTAGCACAATATTTGGCAACCAATTTCGATATGTTTTTTGACAAGTACAACAATATTCTAGTCCAATCAGCAAGTTATGTTACCAAAAGGCAGTCCATAAAACTTCTCGGTGAGATTCTTCTGGATCGAGCCAATTATGCTGTCATGACCGCATATGTTGACCGAGGAGAACATTTAAAGATATGCATGAATCTTCTTCGGGATGAGAGGAAGATGGTACAATATGAAGGATTCCATGTCTTCAAAGTCTTTGTGGCAAACCCACATAAATCCATGGCTGTACAGAGGATACTGCTCAACAACCGGGAAAGGTTATTGAATTTCTTAAAACATTTCTTAGAAGATCGTACAGATGATGAGCAATTCATTGATGAGAGAGAGTTCTTGATCAAGCAGATAGAGAGAATGCCACCACAACCTGTTGAGCCGGCTCAAAAGCCTGCACTTTTAATGGGTCGTTAAATGGAGGAGATGATGGAAGAAGCTAGAGAGGAGTCGATAGACATTGATGAAACGAGACATATGGGTGGGCATTGATTGCTGGATACGACATGAGCATAATCGGAGTTGGGAGCATTAGGTTTTGAATGAATGAATGAATGAATGGATTGGCGGCAATCATTGTACACAGCACAGGCGTTTTTACAATTGTGGTGCTATTAATTTCAAAGATAGATCATGAAGTCTCAAATAAGAAAAGAAATCAGATACAATCAATATTCAAATCAATTGTCTAGTGATACGATAGTTGAATTCTGTCATGGAGAAAGAAAAGGCTGATAGATGCATGTACTTGAGGTGAATTGACATCGCTTACCTAAGCCAAATCCAGACTAGTGGCCGTCGCGTTTGAACGCGAAAGGCTGAGAAGTAATTGTAACTATTAATCAAAGTTGACTTCCGTGAGTGTCCAACGAAACAAATCACAATTTCTGCATCAACAGTTTCACCGGGAAAGAACCTGAAAGGTCGCAAATTCCAAATTTAGATTATTATCTGGCCCCAATCATTGAACTTTCCCCAAGCGCCAATTCGCATCTGTAGTCTTCAAGATGCAGGCGCAATACCGTTCCTATCAACAAGGGACACCTTCACGGGCGTCTCACGGTGGTGGTAATAGAAGAGGTATAGGTATGTACATGCTCAAAATAAATATTGCGCTCAGTTATCTCATATTAAACGTTGATTTTCCCTATTAACGATTCCTCTTTTTCAAACAATATATCTTTCTTCTCAGCCTGCTATCCATCGAGTCAAACTTTGCCCTGCGTTGTTGAAAACATATCCTCTTGTTTATAAATTTATTATCTTGAACTGAGCTAATGCGCAATTGTAGCACCTGCGGCCGCGGCACAAACTAGAGAACAAATGTCGGCCCAACAATATCAACAGCAGCAGCAGCTTATCCTCAAACAAAAGGAAGCGGCGAAAAAGAGAGCAAGCGAACCAACGGATAAAAACATTCCAGATGGAGTAGAGGATGTGATTATTGGGGATGGCGTGCAGAGATACAGAGAGTTGAGAGACATTGAAAGAAGATTGGATGCGACAATGACTAGGAAGAGACTGGACATCCGAGAAAGTGTGGATAGGAATGTTAAGGTTTGTTATCAAGAGTATGGGCAGTCTGGGCAGGGCTGATTATTTACAGAGACATCGAACGTTAAGACTTTGGATCAGTAATACTGTGGAAGATCAACCTTGGCAATCGGATAATACACTGGATGTCGATGCTTTTGATTTTAGCACCAATATGGACTCTTCATTTCGGGTTAAGATTGAGGGAAGATTATTGGATGATGATGAGGAGGAAAGTGATGATAGCGACGACGAGGATGAGGAAGCGGAAGCGGGAGCCGATTCCATGGATGTGGACAAGAAGAAGAAGACGAGACCTCCGGGACGACTTTATAAATTTTCACATTTCTTTAAATCTATGACAGTCGACTTTGATCGAAATCAACGAACCAAAGACGGAGCAGATCAGAGTGTGGAGTGGAAGAAACCTAGTGTTGCGCCAAATGCCAATGGTCTTCCAGCAGCTGCAGACTTTGACCAATTAGAATTCAAGAGGTCAGGCGACGAAAATTGCAATATTGTCATCAACCTGGTCCGCGATGAAACACCCGAAAGATTTCAATTAAGTCCAGTTCTCGCAGCTATCTTAGATACTAATGTTGGTACTCGTGAAGAAGTCACAATGGGTATTTGGAGTTATATCAAAGCCATGGGACTTGCGGACGATGATGAAAAGAGAACCTTTGAGCTTGACGAGAGACTCAGACCAGTATGTTGCTTACTAGACTTTTTCCGATCATCCACACTAACACTATACAGCTTTTCCCAGGTCGAGAAAAAGGATATTGGCCCCAGCTTGGTGATGCCATTATATCACATACTACAATTCTCCAGCCAGTTCGTCTCCATTACACTATCCGTGTAGACAAAGAGTTCCACGAAAACCCTCAACCAACGATCTATGACGTGCAAGTAACAGTTGAAGATCCTTTGAAAGCTGCTCTCGAAGCTGCCACCAGAAACCCCGCTTATGCTGCCAATCTTCTTGAGCTCGCAACATTAGACAAACAACTAGCGGTTATGGTCCAAGCCATTGCTAATTCCAAATCAAAACACTCATTCTTTGATGCACTTTCGAAAAATCCTACAGAATTTATTAGAAAATGGATCAGTTCGCAAAAGAGAGATTTGGAAATCATTGCTGGTGATGGAATGAGAGGCGGTGGAGAGGATGCTACAAGCGATGAATGGAGAAAGGGGGGTGCAGATGGTGTTTGGGGAAGTACCAATGTAAAGGAACTTGCCTCTTTGATGATTAGTACTGGAAAAGTCAGGACTACGGGTTAGAATCTTGAAGCAGGTTTTCTGGAGGTAGATAGACTAGTAAGGTATGGGATTAAGATTGAAGATCGGTTTTCATTCATGATATCAAGATAATTTGGAGGGAGTTAGGAATTGATTCGGTGGAATGGATGGAATGATCTTCTGTTTGTGTGTAATAATTATTGTATGGATAAATAGGGGATTCCTAGAAATAGGCGATGAGACGCGAGATGAGATCAAAACGAAGAACGAGTATTAGCATGAATGACACTTTCAAGGCAATGACTTATTAGCACCTGATACTGACACCTTGGTGCTTGAAGGAGATACGGAGCTGTTCGGCGATAAGATAACACTGGGTTAATTGAATTGATATTTGCTCGCTCAAATTTGGTGTTGGTACAGTACGATTGAATACCAGTCAAAATAAACGATCCTACCTATGTAGCTAGGCAGATCTGACGAGGGCGTTTGGTTTGTCTATTGTAGTCTCTATTTACTAATTGCTTCTTTCTGTACATAGCTTAGCTCCCATCCAGAAGACAACATTGAGGATTAGGACTTATGTAGTGGAAGCAAACTCACTAAATTTCAGTCTCTCTCGAGTCTGTTGTCCATTCACACCGAGTATACATCAAGCCTTTCTGAATTTAAGGTTATCTCCTATATCCTATTTCCAGATGCAAAGAATCTGCACACTTGACAGTATTCATCTAATCATCTCGTACATCTAAAGCTTATTCCATAATAGGAAAGATGTGTTTTGCTTTCGTTCGAATTTATAAGGTGATACGTCACGATGCAGACGAGCTGAGCTCCATTAACCCCTCATTCCTCGAAGCGCTTTAGAAAGTAACAACAAATCCTTCCCCTCCTTCCTCTGTTTCTTCTATAAAGCTTGTCAATCATACAAATGAAGAGTTCATTCCCTCTCCAAACTATACTCCAAACCTCAAGATCAAGATTCTATTCCTCACAAACCCATCGTTCAATATCTCTTCTGCAAGTAAAGCTTCACAGTTCTCCTTCGTCTTGTATCTCGAACTCGGGTCTTTTACCACACCAACAGCGTATCACGGGATCCAACAACTTTTCTCATTTTTCTCATACCCATTCCCGATTTACGAAATCGTTCCATACAAAACCATCACGTTCGAACAAAAATACAAAAACATCCGCAAAAATGTCACCCGTCCATTCCTTGAACCCAGGCAGTACAGCTTTGATCACGGGCGGCGCCTCAGGAATCGGATTTAGTTTTGCGGAAAAATGTGTAAAGGCGGGATTGAATGTTATTTTGGTTGATAATAATGGAGATAATTTGGGGGCTGCGCAGACGTATTTGAGTCAGTTGAATGGAGAGGGACAGGTGGTAGGGTTGAATATTGATGTTGGAGTTGAGGAGGAGTGGGAAAGTGTTAAGGATGTTGTGGAGGGGGATTTTGATGGTATGTTTCTAACTTTTCTTGGTGGGGGGGGTTGTTTTTGATTCTGGATAATGGATACATGAGTTTCTACCTATTCATTGAATCGAAGAATAGAACGGGGAAACAGAAAAATAATTAAGCAAATGAACTAACCGCTCCCAGGAACCCTCCACATCCTCTTCCTCAACGCAGGCTTTTCCACCCGCGGCTCCTTCGCCACCCCCTCTTCCACCTCATACTTCAGTAAAATCCTCTCCGTAAACCTCTTCGGTGTCATAAACGGCATCAATACCCTCCTCCCCTCCATAACATCCCACACCAACCCCTCCTCTATCATCATCACCGGTTCCAAACAAGGAATTACCAACCCCCCTGGAAACCCCGCTTACAACGCCTCGAAAGCCGCTGTCAAAACGCTTGCCGAACATCTATCCTACGATTTGCGCGAGAAGAAGAATGTAGGTGTTCATCTCCTCGTGCCAGGGTGGACTTACACCGGCCTGACAGGGAGCGGCTCGCCTTTTATCGTGAATGCAGACAAGGTAGAGAAAGCGGGATTGGAGAAGAAACCCAAGGGAGCATGGTCCGCGGATCAGGTGACGGAGTATTTGCAGGAGAAGATGGGAGAAGGGAAGTTCTATATTGTTTGTCCGGATGGGGATGTGAGTGAGGAGATGGATCGCAAGAGGATGGCGTGGGGAGCGGGGGATGTGGTAAATGGGAGATTGCCGTTGAGTAGGTGGAGGGAGGAGTACAAGTCGGAGTTTGAGGAATTTGTAAAGAAGGATTTGTGAGGGGTGTGGTTGGGGGTTACTGTGAATGAGAAGGATGAGGATGAGGGGTTTAGATGGGATGAAAATTGAATGATTAGCTATTGCTATTGCTATTACTATTGCTATTGCTAATATCATTGATATAAAGTAATATAAAGTGATGAGATGCTATCCCTGAAAAAAAGCATGGTGTCGACAAGACGAGATAATGTTAAACCTCACATCCCAAAGAAACCCCCATCCCTACCCAACATTCCTAACCTATTAGAGGGCAAATCAAATTGATGTAAATCGAAGAATATCAAATGAGTATGTATCTATCATCTATATATAACTAATTATGAAAAATTTATATTCTAATTAGATATTCCAACTATATACATAGTATAAAGTAAGATTATATAGCATGTAAGACTTATTAGGACATATAGATCTAATATATCTAATGAATATATTTATTTATCTATTTATCTATTTATCTATCTATTTATTTATTTATTTATTTATTTATTTATTTATTTATTTATTTATTTATTTATTTATTTATTTATTTATTTATTTATTTATTTATTTATTTATTTATTTATTTATTTATTTAAATATCTATCTACCTATCTACTTACCTACCTACCTATTCCTCGCGCCCCTCACTCCCTCTACTCCCCTCCAGTCCCCTCCCCAGTCCCCTCCCCCCTTCAAAAAGAGAAAATAAGAAATGAGAAATGAATTGAGAAATGAATTATTATATACACACACACATACACATACACATATACACATTTCAAAAAGAAAAAGAAAGATCATAGAAATCTCTAAATAATACACACATCAATTGATTGAATAATTTCTCATCTCATCTCATCTTCTCTCCTCTCTCCTTTTCTCTTCTCTATCCTTTTCTATTACATCACATTACAACTCTTCTCAATTCATCTCATCTCATCTCATCTCATCTACTCTGTCTACGCCACTCTTCTCAATTTATTTTTGTTCTTCTCAAAAGTCTTTCTTATATCTGTATTCGATTTACAGATGCATTTATATATGCATTTTGCATTTTGCATTTATCTTCTTTCTCCAAGATCTTACTCCGTACTAATAAACCACGCCATACTACTCCATCCATCCATTCTACCATCCCATCCCATCCTATCTTGGCTTTCCTCTTTCTTTTTCCTCTTCCCCTCTTCCAACCCCTCCATTCTCTTCTATCTTCCCCTTCCCCTTCCCCCTTTCACGCCTCTCTAAAACTCAATCAACACATCAATCAAACATCCTACCATCCCACCCCATCCCATCTCTCTACTAAATCCCAATATGAAAAAATTCCCTAAAACGCGATCGATTCCCAATCCCGCATTTCGAATTTTCAAATCCCAACAGATACCAAAAAAGAAAAAAGTACTGCCCATCTGTCCATATCCATTGTATTCCAGCAAGCTAATAAGTACCTAGTAGGTAGCGAATATAATTATTAAAAAAAAACCTCTCTCCGGTCCATCTTTCATGATTCTCAAACACGAGCTGCCACTTGTAACAAAAGAAAAGAAGTAGGATGGAATACGTCGAAATCAAAGATCCGCCGTGTACAAAAAAGCTGAGATGTGATAACGCTCAAAAAGGAAGAGAGAAAACTCTTCAAAATACCTAAGTCTTAATTACATTTGCTTCACAGATGCAAATATATAAAGACCATTGGGTTATTCTCCGTCTCGACAAATCGTGGCAAAGAAATGAGTGATGGATGCACGGCGAGTTTGAAGGCGAAAGTTGAGAGAGTAATGTAGCAGCTGAGAGTTATGGCTACGAAGAAAAGTAAAAGTAACAGAAATTCATGTCAAGTCGTGATAAATTGCTTCCAGCTCCATGAAACCGAGAAAGAAAGGGCTATCAAATGCTGCACTTTAGATGCACCAACCAAGTAAAAAATCCCGAGACCTTGCGCCACGCTAGCAAATGCCGATCGATAAATGGACAATGATTGGAAAATACATCATTTGATGTGTGACAAATGGGATAAATTTATGGACTCGTGTTTTTCTAGAATTGCCGTGTCGCGGAAGTCTCGGAACCTAGGTCCAAACGCTTTCCCACCCTAAATGACTCGAAAACTCGACGAATCTTATTCTTGAGCCCCACGGATAACCATTAGAAGGGTGTTGAAAGTCCGTTCTTAGATTGCCGTTTACTGAAACGATGTGACTTCTTTTTAGCGTCGCCTAAGGATTCTTCTCCTCCAAGGCTAGCTTGACTCTTGGTTAAATGATTTCGACCTGACCGATCACCAGGATCATAACTATTTTGATAGATGCTTGGTCCATGAAGGGTGCTAGTAGGACTCGTGGCGGCGGATGACATATCAAATCCAGTGTCACTGTTATAAGAGCCAACCATATTTTGTGATAAAGCCATATCTTTGGCTTTCTCAATGGCTTCAATCCATTCCTGTGCCGATGTTTTCGAAGGATCAATGGCGGTTGTTGAAGTCTTGGTATCTTCGAATGTATAATGTGTCCCGCGCTATTTATGATTAGTATTGGATAGATTATTGGGCTTGGAATAACTTACTGTGTCCACGCACCACACAGATTGACCTTTGGAATCAGATTGCACTCTCCATGAGCAATCGGAAGCTAGTAAGGAAATTTCTGTTTTAGTTTTCTTCTCGTCGCCTCCCGCAGCAGCAAGAATAATTCTCGCACTTGATGTCACCATCACAAGCCTTGCTCTTTTCTTGGTCGTTGAACCTCCAAAAAATCTAGCAAATCCGCCTTTCTTTTCGGGAACCTCTTCACCATTCCTTGAGTTGGGACTATGTGGTAAC